ACAGTATCAAAGGCCTTGGTCAGATGGATGAACATTGTGTACAGACCTCTGTTCTGCTCCTGGCATTTTGCCTGGAGTTGTCAGGCAGCAAACACCATATTGACTGTTCTTTGGCTCTTTCTAAAGCCAACTGGCTCTCAGGTAGATAACTATTTTCCAGGTGAAGGATTGGCCTATTAAGATGGACTCTAGCAAGAATGTTGCCAGCAATGACTAAGAGAGACCCTCCCTGTGAATGCTGCAGGACAATCTATTTCCTTTGCCTTCATAGAGATGGACATTGGAGGCAACCCTGAATTCCTGAGGGAATAACCTCCTCTTGCCATATAACCTGGAAAATTTCAGTCAGCTTTTGTATGAGCAATGGACCCTCCCTACCTTGTAAATCTCAGCTAGAATAGAATCAGTATTCAAAACCTCTTCTTCTGTTGGAAACTTGGCTAGAGAGGGATTGACTTCAACCTGAGGTAAAAAGTCATTGGCTTCAGCACTGATTGATGACAGTCTGTTGTGAACACTTATAGAAGTGTTCAGATCATCTTTCTAGGATCATGTCCTTATCACTAATCAATGTGGCTCCATCAGCAGTGTGTGGTTGAGATGCACCATACATCTCTGGCCCATAAATAGCTTTCAGGACATCATAAAAGTGCTTTGGATTGTTTCTATCACCATAAAAACTGAATTCCATCTACTTTGTTACTGAGCCAAGAGTCTTGCATCCCTAAGCTTCACTTGTACTTTATTTTTGATGCAGTTAAATGCTGCTTTCTTAGATACAGATGAACTATTCTGCTGGTAAACCCTGTGGAGGTCTCACTTTTCCTTTAGCAGCTTCTGAATTTCTCCATCATTTTCATCAAACCAGTCTTGATGTTTGCAAGTGTTCTGACTTAGGTGAGCAAATATGGTGCTGTATACCAAAATCTCCATAAGATGTCCATTCCTTTTCTGCTCCACTATTGTCAACTGTGTGATGGCTCAGCTTTCCCTCCAAGTTAGCAAAAACTGTTGACAAGTAAGAGAAGGACTCCAATTTGTTGACATTAAGTCTTCCGGTAGCCATCTTGCCTTGGGGGCACTGCTTTTGTTGAATGTAAATTTTTTTTTGGTAAATAGTATTTTATTTTTTCCAGTTACATGTAAAGAGAGTTTTCAACATTCATTTTTATGAGATTTTAAGTTCCAAATTTTTCTCTATCTCCACTCCCCCTCCTCAAGACAGCAAGCAATCTGATATAGGTTATACATGTGCAATCATTTAAATTCCATTACTCATGTTGTGAAGAAACAGAACAAAAGGAAAAAAACATGAAAAAAAAGTGAAAATAGTATGCTTCAATCTGCATTCATACTCCATAGTTCTTTCTTTGGATTTGGATAGCATTTTCCATCATGAGTCTTTTGGAATTGTCTTGGATCATTGTATTGCTGAGAAGAGCTAAGTCTATCATAGTTGATCATAGCACAATGTTGCTGTTACTGTGTTCTGTGTTCTCCTGGTTCTACTCACTTCACTCAGCATCCATTCATGTAAGTCTTTCGACGTTTTTCTGAAATTTGCCTGCTTATCGTTTCTTATAGCACAATTGTATTCCTTTCCATTCATATATCACAACTTGCTCAGCCATTCCCCAATTGATGGGCATTTCCTCAATTTCCAACTGAATACGAATATTTAGCTTGGAGAGGGTAACTTTATGATCAGTCCAGCACTCTGCACCACCCACTGGCTTCATTACTTTCACATCCTGTCTCTCCCTTCTCTTTACAATGACATAGTCTATTAAATGCCAATGTTTGCATCCATGAAGTTTTATTGTTTAGGTACAATAGACAGCATTGGTGATGAAAAAGTCATGAGATGCACAAGTCTTCAGTAGTAAGTGACCACTGCTGTTGCTGTTTCCAACTCCATTCCTCTCAAGGACTCCCTACGATGTCTGGTATATCCTGTATTATTCAAAGGATCTTGTCTTAATATTTGAATGTCTTTCTCTTGGATCCTTGCAGAATTCACTATCTGTTATTAGAATTAACTTTAACCATTGTATTTGAAGTGTAGGGATTTTTTTTTCTCCTAGAAGTGATCAATATATTGTTTCAATTGGTGTTCTGTTTTCTGTATTCAGTTCTGTGTAACTTTCTTATTATATTTTTTGCCCTGTGTTGTTCACATTTTTAAAAAATTTATTATGTTCTTCTGGAAGACTTCTAAGTACTTATGGTTTGAATAAAGAGTATGTGTCCTTTTAATGCTGTTACCTTTTGCTTCTGTTCTGCTGGATTTTTCTCTACTTCTTTTTTTGTTTGTTTGTTTCCTAAATCAATTACACTCTTTCTTGTTTCATTGAAAGAACTCTCAACCATGGCTTCATACCCCCTCCCTCTGCCAACTTATTAATTGAGGCTTTTTATTTCTGCATTGAGAACAATATTCCCATTTTCTTTTATGATGAATTTCATTTCTATTATGAACCATTCTGGCATTTCATGTTGTTGTTTTCTGTTCTCTTAAGAGTTTACAGCATTCTGTGTTTCATTAGGCTTGGTTCATTTTCCTTTATCAATGTAACCACAGGAGTCGGGTGACCTCAAAGCCCTCTGGGATTTGTAGTCCTTCCCAGTTCAGGGACACAGGAAACTGGTAAGATCAGCCTTCCAAGAGGGGTATAGTTTTTGATGGACAGTGATGGTGGAGCATGGAGACATGAGGAGGGGGTAAGAGAGAAGGGAAGATGATGACAGCAGCACAATTATGGAACCCAGTGACTGTCTGGGTGTTGTCCACACTTATTCCAGTAGCAAGAGTGCTGAAGGAAAACCTCATAGGAAGGAAGTGTGGTCCCAATTGTGTCCCTGCCTTACTCAGACTTTTTTTTTTTTAATGATAGAGGACATTTGCCAGAAAATTAATATTAATTTTATAAACACCTGTGGCTGATCTTGTCTTTAAGTTGCCTAGTGTCCTTTGTTGCTACACAAGGGTGTGAGAGAGCAATAGGAACCATTCAATAAAGGGGGTGGAGGTGGGGCTTTCTTAATATAGGACTAGAAGATGAAACCCCAGCCCACTGTCAGGGAGTTCTGCTCTCTAACTGGGAGCATATGCACAAGCCATTTCATAAACAGAGGATGGACACAAAACTGGGCTCCATTGCATAAACTTACTTTGTGGACGTGAAGCAAGGTTATATATTAAGAAAGCTTTGTAATCTCTTTGAGGGTTTAGTACTCATGTTTCTAAGTTCAGACTCCTCTGTTGATTTATCTCTTTATGCTCTAGATTTTTGAGTTTTTTTTCCTCTTGAAATCTTTATTTTTCAGCTTTCTTTCCCTTAGATTCACCTATCACTTGCTTTCTAATTCTACTTCCTTTCCTGATAGGTATACTTCCAGGACTGAACTGCAAAGCTGCCTCAGCCTCCTTGTATGTTAGGGGATTTATGTTTCATTAACTTTGGTCCCTGGTGTGAGTATCATCTGGGGAAGACTGGATTGGCCCCAGATGGATTTCAGTCCCCTTTCATTCAGTTCTGGTATAGCCATTCCTGCTGGTCCACTGCCCAACCTCTTCTCTTGGCTCTCATTCTTTTCCTTTTTGGCTGGGTTGAATGTCAAGTCAAGTTGACAAGCATTTATTAAGCACTTATTATGAGCCAGGAACTATACTCTGCCACTATTTTTCAGGGTTGGAATAGGACAGGGAGGGCTTCCTAGACAGAATCTCTGAAGCCTTGAAAGCCTCTAACCTAGGGCTATCCCAAATACAGGGCAGCATACTTTTCTCTTCTAACACATATGGCAGAGCAGAATGAATGTCTGTTGTAAGGGGTGAGGTGTGTTGGAATAGTCTCTGCAGCAGTAAGAGACTCTAAAATTTGCCCCAGGCACAAGTCCATGATTGGCCTTACATGGAGGATTATGGAGGAAGTTTGCTGAGTGAGTAGTTTAAAAATAACTCTAGTATTAGTTAATTAATAAGGATTTTACTTTGTAGGGGTTCCTTTTTTTTTTCCTGTGGATTCAGCTTTAATTGGTCTATATCTACCACATAATTCCTCTTTTGGGGTTTTTTGTTTTGTTTTGTTTTTGTTTATTTCAGATTTAGAGAGGGGCAGTTAGGTGGCACAGTGGATAAGAGCACTGGCCCTGAAGTCAGGAGGGCCTGAGTTCAAATCTGGCCTCAGACCAAACACTTGACACTTACTAGCTGTGTGACCCTGGGCAAGTCACTTAAGCCCAATTGCCTAAAAATATATATATATATGTATATATACATATATATATATATATATATGTATGTATGTATATATATATATATATATATATATATATATTTTCAGATTTAGTGAGAATTAGAGAAAGTGTCTAGTTAGCGATCTAATTGGCCATATCATATAGAAAATCTTTTTCACCTAAAAAAAATTTTCATTTTTCTTGATTTCAATCATATCCAATCTCCTGTGTATCTCATTAGTTTTGTTTGTTTGTGACAAAACCAAAAGCTATTATGTGAAACAGGTTCAAAGAGACATTACGAATTAGAAGAGCAATGGACATAGAGTCAGGACAGAGATGATATCCAAGCTCTGTTACTTAAAAACCATGTGACTTTTTACCATGTATCATTTACCTTCCTTATGCCTCAGTTTCCTGCTCTGTAAAATGAGGATAACAACAGCAGCACTGTTGTGTGAACCAAATTAGATAATGCACATAAATTGTCAAGTGCTGAATCAACATGAGCTAATGCTATTAACTTATAAGAAGCGTGGGAGAATTGCTTTGAAAGGAATAAAGAGTAAGGCATTTCTCATTTTTCACTCATTCAGTACGGCACAAGCTTGTCTTTTCCTTCCTTCCCTCTTTGGATTATGTTACAAAAGCAAGTGCACTGGGCCAAGGGCCACAGAGAGCTATTTCTCAGGAGAACCGGAAGGCATCGGCTCTGCCCCAAGCATGTGACTCTGGGTGATTTGTGTTTAGATTGTTCTTACCTTCACTGCTTCCCAGCTAGAATTAACAGGGTGGCGTCCAAATGACCCAAAACCTGAAACCAAAGAAAACCCCAGCATGATTACACTTTTTTGCCCCTGAGTCATGAGAGATTGGATTCTATGCCTGACCTATATGCTTTCATTCATTTGGTTTTAATTCTTATAAACCTTTTCTCAGTGGTTATCCACTCTCCTGAACTGGCCGTTTCTCTCTTATACTTTTCTGTGCCATAATCACTCTTATGGGAAGTCTGCATTTTCTTCTTTCCCATCGCAGGTTTTTTCACTGCTGATACAGAAACGTTGCCCAAGTGCATGCTGTTATGTACCTGGCACTGTGGGGGAAACCAAAGGAAGCACACAGCATGTGAAACAAGTGAACAATGATACAAGATACCCTTTTTGTAATCAAGTCCTAAATTAGAGGGTTAGGACTCTTAAGTGACTGAGCCTTCTAGAGCTTTTGTACTTGTTCATTTGTGTCCCACTCTCCAAGACCCCATGCACCATGCTGTCCGTGGGGTTTTCCTGGCAAGGATACTAGAGTGGGTAAATATCTCAGGCCAGATTTGAACTCAGGTCTTCCTGACTCCAGACCCAGTGCTCCATCCACTGATCCACCTAGCTCTCTGCATTCTGGAGGAGGGGTAGATTAGTGTGGGCTGGAGTAGTAAGGGAATTCTTCCCGGAGAAGATGGGGGATGAGCTGAGCCCTAACAGAGCAAGTCAATCAACCAATTAGCAAGTATTTCATAAGCTTGTACTATGTGCCAGGTCCAAGTACAAAGAAGGAAAAAAATTCTTCCTTGCAAAGCGCTTACATTCTAATGGGAGAATGAGTATATATAAATATATGTATGACATAAATATAAAGCTAATAAATACAAAAATATACAAAGTAGCTAAACACCAGGTAGTTTTGGAGGAAGCAGTTGGGAGGATTAGGAAAGACTTGAAAATGGTGCTTGAGGTGTATTTTAAAGGAAGAAAAAAAAACTCTATTAGGCACAGAGAGGTAAGGAAGACGTGCCTGCCAGACATTTAAGATGGCCAAAGGGGATTTGGACAGGGAGAAAGGGGAAGGAGGAGAGAAGGCATTCTCAACCGAGTTTCAGGTGACCGTGAAGACACCAGACTGACAGGAGCAGAGAGTAAGTAACAGTGGGTAAAAAGAGATGTGGTTGACAAGGTAAAAGATGCCAGCTGATATGTGATCCTGTTCTTTGTATTTGTGGTAGGGTAACATGATCACAGATTTAGGAATGGAAGGGATGTCAGAGGTCATCTAGTCCAACCCTGTCATCTTAACCATTGAGGTCCCCATATACGAAGTCTTACCTAAGATAGTACATGGCAGAGTTGGCATTAGAACCCAAGTCCTATGATTTCAAATGCAATGCTCTTCAATCCAGTGAAAACTGAATTGCAGGTGTACTTACATACATACCGCCCATCTTCTGTTGTCTGGAAACCACCCTCTCTGGGTCTCAGTTACCTCATCTATGAAATAAGGGGGTTGTAATAGATGATCTCTGATGTGTCTCCCAACTTAAAACTTCAAAGGTCTACTTAGTACTTTTATTCTAAACAAAATCTGTATCACAGTGATTTATCAGAACTTTGCTTTGGAAAAGAAGGCAAAACACTGTTAGCACTAAATTAGTAAATGGCTCCTAGTGGCCTGAGATAGTTAAACTCATCTTTAAGCCTTTGGAAATTGCTTTGAAAATGACTCCTGGCCAAAGAATGGCTCGTTGACGTTTGTTGTATCTCATTTTGGAGCTTCCAATCAAACAATCAATCAATCAACATTTAAGAAGTACCTTCTGTGTGCCAGGTACTCTGCTAGGCACTTCAAAATAATATGATGCATGCAGTGGTATGTGGCTATGGATATCCCAGAACTGTACTTAGTGTCTCAGTTATTTTATCACCCAAACCAATCGTAGGACAAAATAGCCATTGACTTCTTCAACTCAGACCACTGTGCACTGTGATTTGTAGTTTCAGATATGTTTAGGAGGGGCAGGGAGTACAGCTTTAGAATACAGTCATCCACATGTAGTAGTGTCTTCAGTGGTTTCCCTCTTTCTAGTGAATAATGTCCAAAGTCAAAAGCATGGCATTTAAGGCCCTTCACAATCTGGTTCCCACCTGCTTTTGTACCCTGAGCTACTACTTCCTTTCAAGTATGCTACACTTGAGTTAAACTGGACTGTTTACTTTTCCACTAAAACATCCCTTACTTTTCTGCCACTGAACCTTTGTTTATAATTTTTTTTTGAGGCAATCAGGGTTAAGTGACTTGCCCAGGTTCACATAGCTAGTAAGTGTCTAAGGCCAGATTTGCACTCAAATCTCCTGACTCCAGGGCCAGTGCTCTATCCACTGTGCCACCTAGCTGCCCCTGAACCTTTGTTTATCCTGCTCACTATGACACATTTCTTTACCTTGTCTCTCCCTTATATGCTTCTGTTGAAATCCCATCCATTCTTCAAAGCATGGTAGATTGAGAGCCAGAAGACACTCTAGAATACATATAATACAATCTTCTCATTTTACAGATGAGGAAACAGATCCTGAGAGGTTAGGTGACTTATAAAATTATACAGCCATAGGTAGAAGAGCTGAAATGTGAACTCAGATTCTCTGGCTGTATTTTTCCAATACATCATGTAGCATCTTCCAGATCTTCCTCAAGTAGTTTTCTCCTTGATTCTCTTCCCCCTGTCTCCCAGTTGGATAGGGTCTCTCATTCTTTGCAACTCTCATAGTTCTTGGTACTTCTCTTATGCACTTATGTTGTTAATTTGCTTTCTTTTGTTTTTTGGTCTGGAACTGATTTTATCAGTGTCAGAGGACTCCCAGTGTGGAAAACCCTGGTCATCTTTACCATCTCTTCTAAGACTTTGATGCAGATAGGTCAGGACTGAGCCCACGAGCCCTGAGAATAGCACTAACCTCCAAACCACTGGACCTGTTTCTCACCCAGCTCTTGCAGCCATCGATGGAAGGAAAAATCATTGTGAAGAAGTGGCATACCTTCTTCATCACCACCAACTGCCAGCAACAGACAGATGAGCACAAGAGCCCTGAGAACTCCCAAGTCCTAAGTCAGTACTCCCAAGACCACCTGTCCTGCTTCCAGCAGAATCCTCACAGTCATCATCCAGGGAAGCAACTCCTGCAAAGAAGGGGCCAACTATTCCCACTACCTGCCAACCAACTGCCAATTGGGTAGTCAGGCCAGATTAACTAAAGCAATGGGGCATCCTGAGGGACAGACAGGAGGCAGCATGTGCCAGGCAGCCACCATCCCCACCTTGACCACCATCTCCCCTTCGCCCCTGAAGGAGATAGCCCAGAACCCTGCACCCAAGAGCCTTTAGAATAACAACCTAGAGCCCTTACCCATAATTCTTAGATAAATCTAAGAATTTATCCCCCACCCCCTTGTGTAGATGCAGCCTAGCAACTGCTCCTGTAGATGCTATAAACGTGTCTTTTGAAGACCCAGAAAAGAAAGTTCTTGTCATTGTCAAATGGCTGACATCAGAAACTGATATAATTTAATTAGTGAAAATGACATTATGAAAGAAGCATTACCATCTGCTTTGCCACTGTATTCTAAGCACCACAGAACTTTTCCATCTGACTTGCTGCTAAAATCTTCCATATGTATTGTTTCCCCCATTAAATTGTGAGCTCCTTGAGAGCTGGGACTGTCTTACTTTTTTATTTGAATTTCTAATGCTTAGCACATTGTAAGCACATATTTATTAAGCCTTAATAAATGCTTTATTCAATGATTCATTCGTTCCATTAATTCAGATTAGTAAATCATCTCTATCTTATGAGATCATAGGATGATAGATTTAAAACTAGAAATGTCCTTAGCAGTCATATCATCCAACCCCCTCATTTTACAGAGGAGAAAACTGAGTCCAGAGAGGTTTAAATAATTTGGCCGAGGTAATACAGACATTAAATATCACAACTAGGATAGGATTCCAGTTCAAAGTCTGTGACTCCAATTTCAGTGTTCTTGGCAGTGCATCATGCTGGCTAGATAAATGTATAAAAAGTATAATTTTTGCATGATGTTTTAATGCAAATACTATAAAGGGATAATGTAATATAGCGTAAAATCTGGGAATTAGATTCCTGGATTCAAATCCTGGCTTTGATATTAACTGTGTGAACTTAGCTATATCATTTCAACTATCTCAGACTCAGTTTTCTCATCTGTAAAAGAGAGTTTAAAATATTTTCATTACCTACTGCACTTGATTAGCTGGTTCTGAAGAAAATCTTAAAGTGTTATATGAATATGAATTGCTATTGTATCAGCTCCCCTGCAAGATCATATATTCCTTGAGGACAGGGATAATCTTTAAAAAAAATCCTTGTGCTTCATTAACCTTTTGTGTGTGTGTGTGTGTATCACAGTTGCTTGATAAATGTTTGATAAATGAATGAGGCTGCTCCCAGATGACTATATACAAGATTACTTATGATTACAACTTGTTTCTACCAGTTTCCCAGTGGAATAAAAGTATTTGTCCACAAGCTTTTCAGATTACCTAATTGTGTCCTCAGGCACTGGCTCCGTAACATAGGTTGAATAAGACTCAGGCCCACAAAAATGATCTACTAAGCCAGGGAAGAACTGTGATCTTTGAGGAAGGAGTGCCTGTAGCAATGGCGCCCATAGCAATGATGTCATTAATCCATAAAGTATTGAAAAAAGACAAGCTCTCATACAACTCCCACTTTAATCTTGGTGGTGTCAGGAGATGGGTCAAGGCACCATTTGGGCTGACAGAAACATCAGTAAGTTGTACGGTAAGATGTAAGCAGATTCCAGCATAGTGTCAATGATGATGCACATACAGACAGTGTATACTATAAAAGATATTATCAAGGATACTGATGATAGAAGGAAGTGAGCTGGTCATGTAGCAAAAGTGACTGATAATAAGAGCTTATGTGTTACATTGTGAATTAAGGTATGTAAGACTCTTTTCTAACAAAAACCTTGTGAGATAGCAAGCATAAGTAGCATTATTCCCCTTTCATAGATGTGGATACAAGCCCAAAGATCTTAAGTGACTTGACTGTTGCTACAGAGCTACTAAGGTCAGAGCTGGGATTCCAACTTGGGTCTCCCAACTTTACATCTAGCATTCTGTCCACTAAACTATGCTTCCTTTCTAACACATAGACAGTAGGAATACTGCATTAGTACCCTCAAAATATTAAAATCCAGTTCAGTACAACAAACCTTTATTAAGCACCTACCACGTGCAAGGTACTGTGCTAAGTCCTGAGCATAAAAAATAAAATGAAAAGCTGTCCCTGTTCTCAAGATTACATCCAGGGCAGGGGGTGCTGGTGGTGAGGAAGGAATACAACGTATAACAGATAAATATATAATTTGAGGAAGGAATGGAAACAGGAAAGGCTCCATGGAGGAGGGAGCACATGAGTGTATCCCTTAACAAAGTTGAGGATTCTAAGAAGCAGAAGTGAGGAGAGATCACATTCCATGCACTGGATCAATGGAATGCCATTGAGAAATAGTAATTAGGCCATTTTACTGGAAGTAGAATGCATAAAGGAGAATAATATGCAACAAGCCTGCAAAGGTAGGCAGGGCCTAGATTGTGAAGGGCTTCAAATGCCATGCTGAAGAGTTTATATGTTATCCTTTATGCAAAGGGAGTCATTGATGGGTTCTGAACATGAGAGCAGTAACATGCTCAGGCTTAGAGGCAGGTGTTGGGGGCATAGTAGATAGATTGTTAAGCCTAGAGTCAGGAAGACCTGAGCTCAAGTCCAGTCTCAGACATTTGCCATCTGTGTTACCCTGGGCAAGTCACTTAACTTTGTTTTGCCTCAGTTTTCCCAACCATAAAATAGGGATAATAATAGCTCCTACTTTGCAGGGTTGCAGTAAGGATCAAATGAGATATTTGTAAAAAAAAAATATCACTTAGTACACTTGGTATATGGTAGGTGCTATATAAACCCTTTCCTTATTTTCTTTTTCCTTCCCTTCTCTTCCCTTCTCTTCCTTTCCTTTCCCTTTCCCTTTTGTGCTTCAGAAAGATTATTTTGGCAGCTTGAAAAGGGTCAATTGGAAGAGACAATGACTGGAAACCAGGAGTACAATTAGGATGCCATTGTAATAGTTCACGACGTAATTAGGTATAAACTGGGCGGGGGGAGCGGAGGGGAGGTGGTCATGTGGGTGAGGAGAATGGGATAGATGCAAGAGAGATTTTAGAGGTAGAATTAATAAGTTGGCAGCTGATTGCCTATGTCAGATAAGGGAGAGGGAAGAGTTGAGCATGATAACGAGGTAGAAAATCTGGGTATCTGATAGGATGGTGATGTTCTCAACAGAAATATGGAAATGTGCAAGAAGGGTAGTTTTAGAAGGGAAGATAAAGAGTTTTGTTTTGTACAAGATGCCTAAGGGGACATCCAATTGGAGCTGTCTACCAGACAGTTGGTGTAGAAGGCTGGAGGTGAGGAGAGAGATTGGCACTCATTTAAAAGAACTAGAAGAAGGTCTCAAATGCTTTGGTTAGATCCTGTGTGAAGGGCTCATTGAGAATCATAGAGAAGAATCAAACATGGTGAGGAAGAGTTGGAGGGGTTGATATCTGTGCCAGTGAAGGGAAAATCTAGATGGATAAGATCATAGATCTGACCAAGAAAGTGTATGAAGATGGAGGAAACGAATGTTTGTAAAAAACCTTGTACTCATAGGGTGGTGATGGGGAAAACATTACAAGGGTTCTACCATTTAAGCTATAATACGAGCATTTATTGTTTCACATTGGGGGGAGTGTTATTTTGCAGCCTTAGGTTTAAACTGACGTTTTTGAGCGAGAAAGAACATTAGAAATCGTCCATTTCATTCCCCCTATACTACAAACAAGGAAACTGGGGCTCATAGGGACGAAGTAGTTTATGCAAGGTCATTTAGTAAGTTGTATGGTTGTGATTTTACCCATTCTCCTGATTCCCTATTTGTTAGTGCCTCCCTAGCAGAAATCACTGTTTATTTTTTAAAACATAGCCTATATTTACCCATGAATATGTTGTGTCCCTCTAGTAGAATGTAAGCTCCTTGAAGGTAGGAACTGTCTCACTTGAGTATTTGTATCCCTAGCACCTAGCCCTGTGCCTGGCATATAGCAGGCACTTAGTAAATGCTTAGTTGATTTCTTGATTGTGCCACACTGAATCCCTATAAAGAACATCACCTTCTTTTGAGTTAGTATCAAATCTGAAATATTGCTAAGGTTTTCCTCACTTATAGAACAATATAATTAGCTGTTATTGGCCAGGCAAGCTCTGTAATCTCTCATCCCTGTGCCTCTGCTCTTGTCATTCCTTCCACCTGAAATATCTTTCCTCCCCATTTGCCTATTTCTTATCTTTCTTTCAATGTTACCTCCTCCATGCTTTCCCTGGCCACAAGTAATTTCTCCATCATCTGAATTAACATAGTATTTTGTACCCTCCCTGCTTTCACATTTTACTTTGTATAGTAAACATTTGTATCCACATCCCATTTAATCTACTTGATTTTAAGTTCCATGAAGGCTAGGACTTTCTTGTTCTTTTTTACATTTCTCAAAGTCCTCACACATGGTATCTTATACATAGCAGGATCTTGATAAACGCTTATTCATTTCAACAGATTTGCCAAAAATTTAGTAAGTACCTCCCATGTGTAACAAACATCTACACTGGATGATGGGGCTATAAAGGCAAAATGAAAGTTTTTCCCATTTAGGAGCTTACATTCTATTGGGGGAAATACAGCATGTACTCAAATAGTACAAAGGAAATTGAGGAGGAAGAGAAAAGCAACAACTGGATGAGGGGAATTATCAAGAAGGAGGCAGATTGTGAATGACAGGAATGAGGAAGGGGTGCATTTCACGGGGTATGGCTTAAGCAATCACATAAACATGGGATAAAGAGGAACAAATCAGCAGTCCAAATCTAAGTACTCATCAAACTCTTCTCAGTCAGTAGAATGAAATAAGTCTGGAAATGTAGGTGAAAGTTAAATTGTGGATGGAGGGCCTTCTGTGACAGGCTGAGGAGCTTATATTTCATTCAGCAGGCAATGGGGAGCCATTGACATTTTTTGAGCAGAGAAATAACACAGTTCAACCACTGCCTTGGAAGATTTTTTTGGCAAGCTGTGTGGAGGGTGTACTGGAGACAGAACCAGGGAGACCAATTAGGAGCCTATTACAGTAGTGGGGTAGGGCCAAAAAAACCTTTATTTTCTTTAATGCTCTCCTTGTCTGGTCTTTATAGTTATATGACCTCTTTATTACTTGTGTATGGGTGTGGCTTTACTTCTTAGAATTTTATAAATGCAAGTATTATTATTCTTCCTGACACTAAGCAATGAAAATGAATATTACTTACTACAGAATATATATACATGCATAAATCTATCACTACATAGCCCTAATAATAAGTAAGGCCTTCTTAGGCTCTTTGTGTGTGTGTTGAAAGTATATTTCCCCTCACTCCTAGAATCTGATTTACCATTTCACATACAAAATCCCAAGGGAGTGGAAGGAGTGGTAAGGCATAAGCACTTCTAATGAGGCTTTGACTCCTTCACATGAGAGAATAATCCAAGACTATTCTCCTGGTTCTTACCAGATAATTGGCATATATTCTCTAAGTTTTAACTGTCCAATTGCTTATTTTGATTTTACTCCTGAAACTATCTAAAAAGGTCCTCCTTTTGCCCAATAATAACTTTTTTTTTTTTGATAAAACACCCATTTGGGCCCAGATGGCCCCATAGAACTTGGCATCATAAATAAAACACTCCATGACCCTCTCGGTCTTAACTAAGAACATTTCCTTGCTATGTTCTGCTCCCTCTTGAAGGATTACTAAACTCAAAGATCCCAAAACATAGACCTGGATGAGAAAGTAGCAGGCTACACTTTACTTCCCAACCACCACCACTCTGGATTACCTCAAAAGGAACATGTATCAGAGATGGGATTTTTTTCCTACATAAAAAGGGAAAGCTGGGAAGCCATCTTTGGAACTGCCATACCTCTAGTCTGGAAAATACTGACACAGGCAATACCCATTAAATCCTTTAAAGGTAGAGCTTAAAACCTGGCCCTATTCCTCCTTTTCAAGGATGGTCATCTAAGTAAGTCATTACTCAAAAATTCTGGGTTAAAATGGAATTTGAACATGACATGCATGCTCCAAATGAGTAAGTAGTCATTAACTGCCTGTTGTGTGCAAGGATTTTTGTCTTAGGTGCTGGGGATACAAAAACAAAACAAAACAAAACAAAAAAATGAAAACATCCCTACCTTCAAGGAATTTATGTTCTACTCTAGGGATGTAATACGCAAACGAATAGATAATACAATTTGAGGAGGAGAAGGAGAGCCTGTTAAAGAGGGTCAAAGAAGGCTTTTCCATATGAGATGGCAAATAAGTTGGGCCTTTGGCAGAAGCAAAGTATTCTAAGAGGGAAAAATGAGGAGTGAGTGAATCCCAGATAGTAGGATGTGTCATACATCTAACCTGAAGCTTGTCAATAGGGACTACAAACATTTACAAGTAGAATTAAGGCGCCCTGTTGATAGAATCTGGAGAAGAAAATGGTAAACCACTTGAGTATTTTTGCCAAGAAAACCCCAAAAGAGGCCACAAAGAGTCAGACGTGACTGAAACGTCTAAGCAACAACAACAATTAATAAGATTAAAGGTTTTCTCAGGTTTGCGTTTGTTTTTCCCTAAGTGTTATTCAGTGGTCATTGAGCTACCTTGTTCCGTTATGTTTTTTTTCCAGTTCTTTTGTTTCGCCCTCATCTATCTTTGTGCCTGTTATTTTGGTAAAAAGTAAAGGGATCACACAGACAATCCAATGCTTGGTTCCTGGCAGCTGCCAGATAGTTTAAATAAAAGACTTCTGGGATAGCAAAAACAACATTCACACCTAAGTGACTAAATCTTACTGGGTGCTTTATCATACAGACGTGAGCACCTGACAGTAAGTCACAGGTTAACATTGCTAGGGCAGGTGTCAATGTGATGATGATTTTTAATATTAATAAATCATTCATGCCAAGGATAACACGCATCTGGTAGGTAGATGCTTGTCATCCTTATGTGTTCTAAACATATATGAATTACGGAGTCTGTGTACCTAAGAGCTCATAACTAGGAAAAATTTAAGATACAGAGTTTGTTTAGGACTTTCATGTGAATGTTGTTTGACAAGAGATAAACAGACAATTACTTATGTTTTGAAAACTACTAAAATAAGCAACTTTCCATTTAATTTTCCAATTTTTTTCCTTTTAACTAATTGATATTACAACACAAAAGTGGACCCTTCATCCTACCACCCCACCCACAACTTTCAACTGACCCCCTCATCTGGTCACTATGTAAAAAACTTAAAGCCAACAAATTTGTATTCAAGTCTGCATAGCTCTTTAAGATAAGTTAGATCTCATTGGTACATCCAACTCACATATCCTCAGAATTGACTTCAGATGTGTTGGTGACAGAGTACTCAGTACCTCACATTCTTTTAAGAGTTAACTTTTAGAAGAAAGGATCTCCAACTGGTAGGTCTCACTTGGAGTGTGATTCAGCACTCCCTGAATAGCTCAAAAGTCTCCCGATATGTATGCAGAGGCTGCTTGTTCGGGCACGCTTCTTTGGAGAATGTATCATTTTAAAGGTCTGGTATAGCAATGTGGCCACTGCACACACTGCTCTCTCTGTGATTTTCCTTTATCTTGCTGTGAAATTGAGACCCCAAGGTTGGCTATGTGTGGCTCTAATTATGGAGCCTGACTATATATTATGATGCAATCTTATCTTCCTGATAGAGAGATCCACTCAGTAACCTTTATGTAGCTTTAATCTTATTGGTGTAATAGTTACACAGGTCTAGGTAGAAATAAAACTATTGATTTTGAGAGAGGGAAAGAGTGAGAGAGAGAGAAAGAGAGAGAGAGAGAGAGAGAGAGAGAGAGAGAGAGAGAGAGAGAGAGAGAGAGAGAGAGAGAGAGAGAGAGAGTTTAAAAAGACCTTTTTTAACTTCTGATTTTTTTTTTATAAGGAAGAGTGTGGCCAATTATTTTCCATTGGGAATTATGAGTATGACCAGTTGCCACTCTTCCTCCCCCTTTAGGGAACTGTTTATGATAAAGATCAGGCAAGTGTGCATTCCTTGCCTGTCTAAAAGCAGCAGCAAATTGGAAGCAAACAAACAAAAATTCTTACCAGTCACAACCACGGTATTAGAATTGGAATCCATGAAATTTAGTTGCAGAATGCAAAATCTGCTCTTTTTTTTTGCCATTCCAAACAAGAGCACAGGCATTCCTGCATCTGTGTCACCAAGGCTGTGCTGGAACTTTTTTTTTTTAATTTCATTCCAAAAGGTCTTGGTTCCTATTGGACAGAGTGAAGTACCTCATCAAAGAGAGACCATTTTGGCCTCTATTCAATTTCAACTTAAATCACTGAGTTGGGGAGGGCACAGTGTGTTTGCTGTTGAGAGATAAAACTTTAATTTAATTCTCCTTTTCTGGAGTTTTCAGCAAAGTTCCAAAATGGTGCCAAAGAAAAATAGAAATGTCTGTAAAGCAAAATGATCACTTGCTATTAGAAACATTAATACCAAAAAGCAAAGTTGAAGCTTCACTTAACAGAATGTGATTGCAATGAAATACTTTTGTTACTTTTTGCCAACGTTAATCGACTATTTGGCCATTTCTGCCATATGTAGCATTTTTTAAAAATCTGGAACTCTTTTAATATCTTTTTTAGGATAGACATTAGCTGTAATATTACTGTTTAATTTTATTTTGTTGGTCTTAATATAGCAGGAAAAAAATATGTCAGTAATGATACAGTTGAAGCTGTTCCCTGTGAGATAAGGTAGTTTATTTTAGCTATGTAAGCAGTTATTTTCTGCCTTTTTTTTTTTATTAGTGAGGATTATATGGGCTTTACCTTACCTTATGGGCTAATTTCCTCTACTGAAGAAAGATTATGTACTGTACTATCCTTTCAGATAACACAAAATTTTAAAGAAATTCACTTACTAAAGCAAATAGTTGTCTTAATTTTTCCATCTGGTTGTAATAAGAAAGGATGTAGTTCACTGAAAAACATATGTAAAAGAAGCACGTTGGTTCTAATACACTATATGCTTCATATTAGACAATATGATCACCTAGTACAATCTACTTAATTGGCCCCCTGATAAAAAGTACACCCATTTAATTGGGATCATTGCCAAGGAACAGAGTTGCAGTGCTTCTCGGTGACTTTAAAACAATGGGCAAATGACATGGCTAGTTCATTTAATTGGTCCCCCGGTATCGTCTGCGAGCTTATTTACAGTAGTGAACAGGTGGGAATTGACATTTGCCAGCATACACTTCCCACGGCCTGGCCTCGTCAGCATAGGGCTTTCTTGTTCTTCAGATGGCAGCAAAAGGGATTTAAATTTCATGCACCAGTATTGCATCTGAGGTGAAAAATATAATAGAAAGAGACCTACATGTGAAAGTAGTTGGTTGCCTAGTTTTACTGTTTTCTCCACACATTTGTTAGGATTAATTGGATCCTATCAAGAGGAAGAAGTGCTCTTGAGTTGTGTCAAATCACATGGAACTATGATCTGATCTGCATTCCTTACCACAAGAATAAAAGTTAAAGACCCAAGCCTAGTAGGATATATGTTTTGAGTAAAATAAAAAAATTAATCGTCTGAGACCCTAACTTTATCTACCGTAAACATTATCTAGAACGATCTGTCTAATGTTATTTTGTGTAGAACAATCTGAAAATGTTTGCTGCTCAAATAAGCTTAAAGGCAGATCAGTGATAAACTTGAAGTGCTAAAATTCCCCTCTAATTATGCCAATTTTGTGATCGTGTTGCAAATTTGTTAGTTCTTGAGAATGTAACATCAGATTTATTTTGATTTAAGCTCTACTTTGTATTTCTCCCACAATATTTTCTCTTTTCCGTGATTCAGTTTTCCTTGTTTCCTACAGTTATTATCCGATAAAACGGTTGACTATTTATCATTAAACATTTCCATTTACCTACATCTACCATTTTTTTTAGCCTTCTCCTTTACCATACCTCGGCCCCCCCACCTCCACCCCCACCTCTGCCCACCCCCATGCTTGTTCTCTGAAAAATCAAAGAACAGCCTAGTACTCAGTGAAACAGAGACTTTTAGATCTGAAATCTTCACCTTTTGTTTTCTTTTCCATTGTAAAAATAAACGATCCTTAACAAACCTTAATGTTGAAGATAATCTTTATGCAGATGAAACATAATAAGCCTGAGAATAAAGAAGGCAGCTGAGAGGAGATGTTGTATTCAACTGAAATTATAGTGATTATTATTACAGTTTAGAAGCCAAAGAAGAAAATGTTTGTAATCATATTTGACTTCAGGATTAAGTGGGCAAGGTGAAACCTTCTAATTGAACCAGAAAGTAAGCAGAATTAACGAGCTTTCATGCCAGGGATGGGAAAATGTGCATTGCCAAGATTACAACAGCACCCTGAAACCTCAAATACTTCAAGTTTTGAACCAAACACAAAACTTTGAGGGATTTGATTTCAATTTCTTATTGGCAAACTGATGTTTTCCTGCTTTAAAGGGAGAAAAAAAAGACTTAAAAAGGTTGTATCATTTCTTTGACACGAAACAGCTCTTGCAAAACAAAACTGTGCACCATACATGTAGCACGTGAAACTAAAATATATTAATTAAATTATTTTCTGGGAGATATGAGGGTGAGTGATTGATGAAGAAATGGTGTTGGGGGAAAATAATTATAGGGAAACTCAAAATGTTTGCTGTTGTTCTTTTCTTTGAATCACTGAGTTTCCAGTTTCAATTACTTAATTCCACTGTGTCATGAAGTAGCCTAATGCTTCTTCAACCATTTCCATCTCTCAGCCAAATTACAATTTGTCTGAATGTCAACCAATTCTCAGAAAAGAGCTCCATGATTGTGGCAATATCAGTCATTCATACATTCTCTTTTTGTGGGTCCTCATCTGTGAAAATCCTATGCTTCAGACTATGATTGTTCTCTTATACTAAAAGTGCTATGGCTAATACAAAAATAACAGTATGGTATACATCAGCAGTTTCCTTAAGAAAATTAAGAAATTGGCTGATAAAAGTATAAAACAAGGCTTAGAAATGCAGAAAGGAAGCACTATGTAGTGGAGTACTTCCTGAATATCAGATTATTCAAGTCATTTTACCTCTCTGGGCCTCAGTTTTCTTATCTGTAAAATGACAATGTTTGATGAGATGTACTCAAAGGTCCTTCACAGCTCTCAATCTATGATCCTATGGGTTTGTCTCTGATAGTAGTAACTACCTTATCCTCTAAGGCATACTAACATTCTGACTGAAATGCCATAGATGAATTTTCAAATTCAGTGAATTGTAGCAATTCTGATTTTTATTACCTACTTAACTAATTTTTTTCTCTCCCATAAATGGCTTTCACAAAAAGCTAACAAAATATTCCATCTTGGAAATGCTTGCCTTCATTTTTCAGCACCAGGTTGATTTGGGAAACAGACCAAGTCAGTATATCAGAGCTATGATTCGTAATTTTTGTAGAAAGTGACAGCCTAGGGGCAGCTAGGTGGCATACTGGATAGAGTACCGGCCCCGGATTCAGGAGGACCTGAGTTCAAATATGACCTCAGACACATAACACTTACTATCTGTGTGACCCTGGGCAAGTCACTTAACCCCACTGCCTAGCCAAAAACAAAAACAAAAAAACAAACAAAAAAAAGAAAGTGACAGCCTAACATTGTTTGATTTCATAACAGAATCTTCCATTTTTTATGAAATAACTAGAGGGCACAAAAGTACTTTTCAATTTAAAGTGATTTCCAAATAACCCTGTTTTGAGAGTGTAATGATTCTTTGAAATAAATGGAGGAACTCAAAACTATTAAAAAAAACAATACAGTGGGATATTTCTATCTTAGGGCACCTAGGTGGCACAGTGGATAGGTCTTTCGGCTTGTAATCAGGAAGACTTATCTTTCTAAATTCATATCTGGCCTCAGACACTTAGTAGCTGTGTGACCCTAGGCAAGTCACTTAACCCTGTTTGTCTCAGTTTACTCATCTGTAAAATGTGCTGGAGAAAGACATGACAAACCACTCCAGTCTTTGCCAAGAAAACCCTAAAATGCAGTCAGGAAGAGTCAGACAGAATTGAACAACAGCACAACAAAAATTTACATCTTAGTAGCCACAGAACAATTTTGGGAATGATCCTCAAATCTTCACATGAGATTTGTTTAGTAAATTTTGGTTATAGATATAGACTTTTAGAACAAGGGACCTTATACACAATACAGTTCAGCCTCTTAGATTCAATGATCAATCATGGAAGACATCATAGTGGAGTGAATAATGTTGGACTTGGAATGACAAAGACATGGGCTAAAATTGTGTGTGTGTGTTGTGTGATACTGGACAAATTACTTCATTTCTCAGCCTCAGTTTTCTGCTGTGTAAAATGATGATAAATAACTATGGCATTTCTCTTATGGGGTGGTTGTGAGAATAAAGGGAGAGAATACAGACAAAGCACTTTCTAAATCTTAAAGTGATATATAAATGCTAATTGTTATTATTAACAAGTAGCACGAAGATAAATATTTTTAAATGTTCAAATATTTTTCTTCATAGTTTCATGTCTCCCAATTTTTAGAAAGGAACTCAGCCTTGTTATATTTTATTGAGACTTTGTTTTCTTCAGTTTCTGATAAACACATGCCATTTCTATTGCCAGAATCACACCCAAACCACTAAAAGAACATTATTCATTTTTATTTCCTATACTGTAACAACTTTAGCAAAAGGACTCAATTTACTTATCAAGCAGACACTATGACTGACTACTACTTTTTGCTTAGGAAATTCACAAATACTTGGGACATTCCTAGAACAGCTGTGTTCTTCTTAACACTGAAGAAATTCCCAGAAAAGTAGATGAAGTCAGCTGAAGAAGTTTTTTTTTCCTGAAGCAAAAACTGAACTTTTTGTCACTCCCTTTGTATAATGGCCTATGAAATAGAGTAGAGGAGTTCTTGACTGTTAAAATGTTCCAGTCTTTGTTATCTCAGTTAAATTTTTCTTGGGAGTGAGTTAGGGTGGGGGTGAAAGATGGAATGGTGAGGCTAGGACAATTTTGGATGGGACATGGGTAATTAAATGGATGAGTTACATTAAGAGATTTCGTAAAGATACAGAAAGGTAC